CACACACACACACACACACTTATAGTGCCATCAGCAGTAGAGGTTAGGGCTGAAAGCAGAAATTATTAAAGCAAACTTACATCCATCTCTAGATTTTTCTATTTGCTCTCGGAGGAATTTGTCTTTGTGAAGATTGACATCTCCAAACCAGAAATCCACTTGTTTTGCTATATCTGACAGAACCTGTTTAACTCTTGACCTCTTCTTTTTTTCCCGTTCTTTTTTCTGTTCAGTGCTTTCCTCTTCCACAGGTTTGCCTCTTGCCGTTTCCGTCTCCATGCCTGTCATTCTGTCATCTGAAAGTTATATCGAACTTGGTCAAAACCAGGGGTAGGTAACACTACTGTGGACTTTTGTTGCACCCATCAAATAATTCTAAGAGCTTTTATGAACGTTAGTATTAGCTTCCCCATCTTTCCTGTGAGATTCACAGACAGTAACAATACTTGCGAAGAGACACAAAGATGGCAAGTACTTTGTACCAGGACACACAGCAGCCAAGAACTCGTAGCTCCCAAACCTGTCCTCTAACCACAAAAGTATTTTGCTGCAGGTATTTCTACAATTATTTTCACTGTTTCATTTTTCAAATGTTATTAATATTTTACTATTTTATTCCTTTTAATGAGGTACTCCCACACGCTGCCAAAAAACAGTTTTTGAATTGCACTTTATGAATAGTCACAAGATTCATAGTGGCATTTAGTTTTATGAGCCATCATGCAAGCAATATTGTCAGGAAGCAATCATTTAAATGACAGAGATTTAAAATTATTTGAGGATGATGATAGATGTCTTAATAATTACAATTATACTTTAAAGGAAATACTTTGGAAAGGGTCTAATAGTTCACCTAAAATTAAATGAGCAAGGAGCAAGATTTGGCAGGTCTGAAAGACAGGCTTAAGGTGACGTCCTCTTTTGCCAAGGTCTCCCAACATAGCACAAAGAGAATTTAAACAATAATGTGCTGTACTTCAGAACTAGCCCTGCTACACTGACAAGAGACAGGAAGCGTTACACACATCTCTAGGTAGACTACATACCACAGGTCAAATTCTAAGTACTAGATGCTGCTTTTTGCTCCACTGATTTCATAAAAGAGGTTATGCTTTTTTTTTTTTATGAGATTCTAGCTGCATGAGTCTCTGGTCTGATGCCAAAACGTAAGAGTAATTTACTAATTCTTAGGAAGCAATGCAACTTGAAGCAGCATGTGTATAGCTGGGGGCATTCACAGAAAAAACTAACAATGGCTCTTGTTTAAATGGTTAAAACATCTAGGAAACAGTCTTGTCAATTGTTACAGCACTAAAGAAAGCGAAAATTCCCAGCCTCCCACTCAGATGTTCTGAGCATAATACAATGCATTTTTATGACAGTGTTAACCTTTTGTCAAAGATTTAGAGCCCCACACTTTGGGGCTCAATGATGAATACTCTTGCCAATCTGTATACATACACTAGTTGAATACCTTAGTATTTTCCTTTTTCTTAAATTATTTAGGTCCTGATTAAGTTAGGTTGTGAAAAAGAGGGATCTCAACACCTCATACTTTGATTAAATAGAAGCAGAGAAAACAGAGCAAGTTCCATGGGTTGATGTGATCACAACGCCAAACAATGTCTCTTTAGACATTAATATACTGTATATTGCTTAAACTCCAAATTACTTTGGCCACTTTTCCTCTACACCCCAACCTAGAAAAAAAAAATCACCAGTTTTTCATAGTACTTTACTTCCAATGAGCTAGTTCCCAATAACAGCTTGGAAAAAGTAGGAAGTGCCTGAAAATGAAATTATCACAAAGATTTAAGTATTTAAGGTAGTAGCTATCACCATATAAAAGGCTTCTCATCTCTTTGCCAATGGCCAATACTGCGAAACAATATACAAGGAAATGGTGGTGATGGTGAGAACCATCAGAGGAAGCCCCATCTATAGAACAGGATGACAAAAATGGAAATGCTCTTCAGATTATTGTGTTAATCAGGCTCCTCAAGCAGGATTCCAGTTTCCCTCCCTGCTGTGAGCTGACCATTCAAGATGCTTAAAGGTCAACAAGTTGTCAATTAAGTTGAAGGTATGTGAGGTAACACTCTCCCCAGGAAGGCAGAAGTTCAACATGGGTTCAAGTCCCAGAACAAGACATTTACTTAAACCAATACAAGTAAAGGAATACTAAATTCAGGAGAAAGCTAAATCCTTTAGAAGTACTGTTTTTCAAATACAAGATCCCTCTCATGGCTTTCTAAAGATTAAAGATTACAAGCCAACACTTTAATTAAGATACAGAGGTAAGACAGGTGCACTCTGAACAAAGTTCCTATTTCTTAAAAACATCATTTTTACTATCCAATTCTCTGTAAGCTACTACTTAAAATATATAATAGCAGCTGCGCTCATCTTGTCTTAACCATTGCTACATTATCAGGCTGGAACTTATTTGTCACAATTATTAAATACATCCTGAGATTCCAAACTTAAGTCTATGAAAACTCTTCTAGGAAGCTGGGAGCATTAACAAAGGCCCAGGTTATGATTTGCCAAAAATTCAAGGGCAGAACACTCTTACACTTCCTTAGGATTTAGGCAGAATTTGGTCTGTGGTTTCCTTCTTCCTATAAGGGAATGAAAGAATGCAAGTGTAAAGTCAAGTAAATTAGAAATATAACTGGCAGATTACTTCTTTCCATGTGCCACCTCAGCTCCACTGGCTAATGTGGCAGAAGATGCAAGGTAAGACAAGGAGAGGAGGAATGGCTCTGAAGATGCTGCTCCCCCTTCTGTCCCACTTGTTGAGATACAGGTTGCCAAGGCAGAACATTAAGCAATTTTGAAAGAGCTGGGTCACAATCAGGCATTGCACTTGTAATGGTGGTGGTAGAGGGGAAGGTGGAAGGAGATAAAGACTTTCTGAGTTCCCTTTGAGCCAGCCAGTCATTACTTGGCCTCAACTTAGATCAGTGTCTACATATTGAATATTCTATAGCTATTTTGTAACCTAGCACAATACCAACACTCAGAACAACCTTAAAAGAATGAAAGAAATGTCTTGGAAAGAAAGCTTTTAAAAAGCCATATATTAAAATCTAGCACATTTTACACAGATAACGTCTATTACAGGAAGTACGTTCTAATGTCAGCTCAGTTTCCAGCTGAAATGCACATAACTTTCGTAAATTAAACAATAGAAACAAAAAATGGAGAAACATAGTTATGTACCAAATAATGTGATTCTTGGACAAAACTTACACTGACTTCAGTGGGCTTTTACCTTTGGAAGAATTACATTTCCCAATGATTATGTAGGGCACAGACAAAACTCCACTGTCCAAGTCTGCTGACAAGCTCATATTCCAGAAGTTATCCCTATTGGAGTACCTTTCAACAGGCATTCTTTTCCTTGGCTGATTTTATGTTCCTCCAGAAGCCCAACAGCATGCCATGCCTTCCATGGCAGATGGTCTGGCTTTTTTCCTAATATACTCCCAAATAACTCTTCCTCCTTTTCTGGACACTTTTGGAGACCAGGGTTGCTGAACTCCGTGACAAAATTCACTGTAAAGGATCTAAACCATTTACTTAGATGACTGTCCACTAGCTTGGTTAATACACAACTTTCACATGTCTTAAGAAGGAAATAGGCAGGCAAGGTTCTTTGAGTAGATGTGGTATCTTTTATTAGACCAACTGAGTAGTTGGAAAAAAGTTCTTAGCAAGCTTTTGGGTGCAATCACTCTTCTTAGACCAACACAGCTACAACTAAAAACCCCTTAAGAAAGAAATAACATTTTAATTTGTAGTTTAATCTTTAAAAGTTTGGTCTTTAAAAATCTGTATCTTAAACTTATAAACATAACTGTCTTGCTTGTATTGATTTATGGCCTTATTTGCCTCTGACATCCACACTGGCTCACACATTATGGCTACGGTTTATAAATTAACTTGCTATTTTTAAATTTCCTTATCTCCTAAAGTAATATTTAAGTTGAGGCAGAATAAGGTTATTTTGATTTTTTCCCCTAGCTCATTGACCCTATCTTTTTTTTTTGCAATGCTGAACATTCTTTTAGTCATAGAATCAGAGAGAAGCAAGGCTGGAAGGGACCTCCAGTGGTCCTCTAGTCCAGCATTTCTCAACCTATGGGTCACAAGAATATATGAATGGGTCACGAAAAAAACATTTTAAAAATGGATTCTCCTTTAAAGGAGAAAAACTTGGGAAACCATGGCTTCTCCCTTGCAGGCTGTCAGAGTTCCAGCCTGCAAGAGGCTGCTTGGGACCCCCCATCCTCCATTTCCCCCCCCTCTTGCCCCACACACTGGGGACTTGGGGGCAGTGGGTCAGGAGTGAGGGACACTGGGCCAGGACCGGACATCAATGTTTCCAAATGGGTCCTGATACAAAAAAGGTTGAGAACCACTGATCTAGTCCAACTCCCTGCCTTAGGCAGGATTGCCCCTATCCAAAACATCCCATACAGCCATAATCTAAACTTTACATAAGACTAGCCTCAACCCTGATACAACATAAACCTGTACCTAACCTGCCACAGGTAAAGCAGATTTTGACAGCATATTTTTATAAACATGTACATTTATATTTTTGAAGATGATTTAAGAGAGCTTTAGTACTTTGGATTCATGTTTAATTCATGACTGCAAAAATGTTCCAAATGCTATTAAGGAAAATTGTAACAAAAGCTCCATTTTAACAAACATAAACAGATGAGCTGAACAGCTTAAGCGTAACTACTACTTACAAAATAAAATTTTATTTTATTTTATTTGGTTCTCACATATGCACACATACATAGCACTTCATACCAAAAGCAGAAGTAAATTTAACTTTGAGAGGTTGTGTTCAAGTACTTGAAATTCTAGCCTAGCACAGTTAGCAAGTTTAAGTTATGCTGATGTCTGTAGGACCTGATTTTAAGTTTCAGCCTCCTGTTTCTTCAGTTTGTCTCCCAAACAGACCTCCCCAAAGAGAAAGTGTAGGCCTCCCTGACAGCTTAAAAAAGCAAACAGAAAATAATTTTTGGCAGGGGCAAAGGACTTCTAGATTTTGGTTCATAAAGAACAGTAACCTCAGATGCATAAGAAAGAGAAAATAAAGAAAGAACAAAACAAATAGTCTCTGCAGTACAAGGTGTTAATTACTCAGCATTTCATGCCATGTGAAAGGTCTGTTGTGTATTAATCCATATTTTTTTGTTCAGGACTGTAATGAGGGCCATCCATTTGACCATTAATGAGTTTAGGTAATGAGTTTAGTGATATATAATGATTCATTTTTAAAAGCCTAGGGACAGCATATCACTTAGTGATCACAAACCTTTGACAGTACAGGACAGATTGCTATTTCAGCCCATGTACTGTTGTCCTCTCCGATTCCTGTTCCACTTCAGCCTCGAAACAGCACCTCTGAAAGGGTGATGTTCAAGGGAGTGGGAAGAGAGAATGGGAGCAAATGTCAAATGTCAGCTATGAACCTGCCACCTCAATGTGAGAACGCACTTATTTCCAAGACACACTGAAGTCAACTCCTGTTGCAACTGGGTAGTTTCCTGGGTAGCACCTGATCTAGGGGACTGGACTACATGACTTACTGAGGTCCCTTCCAACCCTAATTTTCTGATTCTATGATGGAAGGAGCTTCACAAAAGTAGGCAGATATAGCGCAGACTTTCTTAGACTAGCCCACAGGTTGGCTAATGGGAGATTCACAATTGTGGACTGGGCCCTGCCGGGCGATAAACTCAGGAACAGACAGTCCTGAATGGGCACCATGGAGCTGGAGGGGAGGAGTGGTACTACAGGAAGACAGAAGAGGATGGGAAAGAAACTGCACACTATCTGGTGGAGTGGGGCCTGGCACAGACTTTTTCAGGGGCAGGCCCTCTGAGGGCAGTGGGTGGGGGTTCGGGGATGGAGATGGATGTATGGGTGCATAGTATGAACTGTGTAACATGTTCTTAGTGTGATTTGACCTGCCAAGTGAACCACAGTGGCTGCTTGGTAGTATTGAAGGTAGATAACTATAGATAGATCTACCTATAGATTTTGTGTTTTTTTGCCAAAAAAAACCAACCAAATGAACGGTGCGTGCATGCACGTGTGTATACACATCTTGCCCCTGTCGGACACTGGGCCAATGGGGTCAGTGTTAGCTGAGGAGGGTCTGGCTTCTTCCCACTAACAAATAAGAGACAGCTGCATGAGTGTAGGCAGGAACACCAAGCCCCGTCCAGCCCACAACACGACTGCCAGGGCAAAGCGGGGCCTGGGGGTGGACCACATGCTGGAAGGGGTTGCTAACGCATGCGCGGACACCGCCTTTGCACACGACCCAACTGGCGCAGGACCCCACAACAGTCAGGACGCGGCTCTGCGACACGCGGAATTCGCGCGCAAGTGCTGCAGGCCCCGCCCCCATGACGGGCCGCTGACGTCACAGCATTCCCCTTCCAAGCGCCGCGGTAGTTCTCGCTCGCCCTTCCGCCCCTCCCCGCCCCCCAGCGACACTGACCTGCAGACGCCGGCCGCTCGGGACTTCTGGCAGCGTCACGCGGGCACCCCGCGGCCACAACCCCCCGCGCCTCCTCCAGCGCTCCGCCGTTCCGCCCCCCTGTGACGTCACAACCAACGCGACGCTCGGGTCTCAGAGCGGAAGCCCCGGGGCCAGGCCAATCAGCGAGGGGCGCGCTCGTGACGTCTTACGCACGCGCCGGTTGCCAGGGGCCGACAAGGAAGCGGCTTGGTCCTGTTACCTTCTTTTCCGTCAGGCGAAGCGTGGGTAGCCGGGGGCCTTCTATGCCGGCGCAGGGAAATAACGTCATCGGCAGCTAGCGCGGGAAAGCTTTCAAAGTGGAAAGAATCCGGCGGCCACCTGGTCTCTCTGTGAGGTGGGCACGTGCTTTCCCTCCCCTGCTCCTACGTCACTGCCTGGGGGTGGGAGATGGGGGTTGGTTGGGGCTGGCTCGGCTCGCCGGGGCCGGGGCTGGAGCGGAGCCGGACTCGATCCCACGTCCCGTCCCCACCTGGTTCCCTGAGCGCAGCGTTGCCACACCTTAAATATGAAATTACCCGCATTGGAAGCTCAGAATGATCGTGTTTGTTTGTTGAAATGCGATTGTACTCTGAAAAATAAGCATGCAAATAACCCATCTTTTAAAATTTATGTTGCTCACTAATCGCCAGTGCGTGAGTGAGACCTGGGTCAGAGTTGAAGCATTTTTTAATTTCAAGGCAAGCAGGCAGGCAAAAGAAAGCGCTGATAGCAAACCCAGAAATCGGCCTTTTGTGGGCTAAGATGAAACAGGGGCATCTCTTGAGCCTGCAGGTAGGATGCCTGCCAGTGGTTTTGGGAGTGTCTAAAGTCCCAGGGTGAGAGCCTGGGACCACGTCCTGCTTGCACCATCGATATGGTTTTTGGAATGATTGAATTCTGCTCAGTAGTATGATGTGGAACTGATCTGGTTGATTTGACCTGGAACATGAAATGTATTAATAATAATAAAAAAAGCAAAGCCCCCAAAGTTGGGTACAACCCCCCTTTACTCAGGGCTGTCACCCCCAACTTTCAAAATGTGGCATGGCTGCAGCAGTTCATTGTGGTGGGTGGATGGGAGGGACAGCTACTCAGCGTGCTGCATCATGCCCTGTCCCACATGGACCGGGCTGCTGGTTGTTGCGGTGCCAGGACTGCACAGTACCAACAGGAAGGCTGGGGGTGGGTGTGAGAGGGATGGATAGGGG